GCAACTCCATCTACCACCCTGAACTTCACTCCCTTGGATATTTCACAGTCGTAAATAAATGGCACACAACTTCACTTGAAAAAATAAAAACACTACTCTGGGCTATAAACTGATAGTCCAAGAAGAAATTATAATTTTCAATAGATCTCTGATGTTACACTATTTAAACTGACTGGTGTCAAGCTCAAGCTGAGTTCCCAACAGCAGACTTTTGACAGATTCTTGTAAATAGAGTCAGAAATAGAAACAACTATCTGTCTTATGCATTCCTCCCCATTAAGAAATTACCAAGTCATTTCATATGACAAATATTTTAGTGCGACACTCTGATACTAAAGCACCCCAACCTTTCCTGGCACTTCACACAGCCCACTCACAGTCTGTTCATCAAGTCCACTACATACAGATATAAACAGTCACACACATACTGCATCTATGCACCTTGACTTTCTGGCACCTTGCTGCACAGCAGGACGCCATCGCCTGTCTGTCAGTGCCTCCCCCATTAACATACCCAGTGCAGCAGTAGTATGACTCTATCAGCAGCTGGGCTGAGTCTGGCGAGCTTTGATCTCTCCCCCACTGAGTCGATCCACTGGAGCGTGACTACACCAGGTGGGAGACAGCCATGAAGTGCCAGCTCTGAATGGAAGTGGTCTGACTCATTTGTAAGTCTACATTTATGGATTATTGTTCTAAAATATCCAAAGACTGTTACAAGTTGAACTGATTTTCATTTTGTCTTTCACTTGACAAGATAGTTTCTTCCTTTCCTTTAAGTATGAATCGGGCTTATTAAATATGAGTGGGTACTGTAATTGTACTGCACTGTAACATTGTGATTATCCAGAGTTACCTCTTATTTTGCATTTCGACAGGTGTAAATATCATTCTAGGTGTTTGTAGGTTTCTTCCAGAAATACCAACCACAGATACTTAACCACTGGGTTAATGTATAAATGTATGAGTCATGTATACTTTAAATATTTCCACCAGTATATTACAGTGTCTATAACACCCCACCTTTCCAGCCTCATTCATTGCACCTCTCATAGCTAATCATTTTTCAATTTGTGCTCTTTGGCTTTTAAAGTATTTTCACAGGTCATGGGAATCTTAAGAGCTTTTAAGAGCTCTTAAGCCAACAGGCTTCTTTAGGTTTGTGGAGACATTTCACCTCTGATCCAAGAAGCTTCTTCAATAGAAAACAAATGGTGGAGAGTCTGAGATATCTGATGCACTATTGATAAAGTGAGCCTTTATTATTGGAGGTGAGCTTCCCTCCCTCCAAGACATCTACAGGAAGCGCTGCCTGAGGAAAGCGGGGAGGATCATCAAGGACTCCAGTCACCCCAGCCATAAACTGTTCAGACTGCTTCCATCAGGAAGGAGGTTCTGCAGCATCCGGTCCCGTACCAGCAGACTGAGAGACAGCTTCTTCCACCAGGCCATCAGACTGCTGAACACGTCATAGACACCTCAGCTTCACTACTGGAGCTTCAACATTATGCACTCCATACTGTACAGTAATGCCACTGTTTTGCACATGTCTCAACTCAGTATATTTTTATATATTTTATTTATTGTTTACTCTATTTAATTTGTAAAATATGTGCACACACAAACACACACAGACACACACGTAGAAAAATATTTAGTATACACATCCAGAAATGCATATACTATTATATATTGTACATATATTTATTAGTTTCAGATGTAGCCATTCTTGTATTTTGCTTGTTTACATTATTGTATTTTTGCACACCTCTGTTGCTTGTGAAGCTCGCACACAAGAATTTCACTCACATGTGCTGTACCAATGTACCTGCACATGTGATGTGACAATAAAAGTGATTTGATTTGATTTGATTTGATTTGATTTGGATGAGAGGTGAAATGTCTCCACAAACCTAAAGAAGTTAATTTGCTTTTTTTTTTCAAGCTGTCAAGATTTCAGTTCTTTATTATAATAATAATTATTACTATTATTGAATGAGTAAAAGATTTTGGCTGTGGCATCTAGAGTCTAGAAACTAAAACATGCAGTGGTTGTATAGCATTTTATATTTTGCACTTTAAAAAAACCTCACATATCACAGTGGCCTTTCGGCAGTGAGATCCTGCAATGAGGAGAAACCTGTCCAGGCTCTTTTCCATCCAGTGTAAGCCAAATGCTTACCCTAAGTGACCCTAATTAGCAACAAGTGGGTAAAGCCAATTGATTACTTAATTCTCGGTCATGAAGTGAGATTAGGGTGTCCACCTCTCATGCGGAGGACCCGCGACGTTTTGCCACCAGCTTGCATATGCATATCTGGGTTTCCCCATCTGTCCGTCTGGGTCACCTCCATGCCCAGCTCTTCGTGTCTGGATAATTAGCTGCCCAGCCCTCGCTGCCAGACTGTGCGTCCCATGGATTTATGATGGTGATGGCTGGCCAGGTCTCACAGGGGATTGTGTGTGTTTGTGTGTGGGTATGTGCCAACGAGGCCAAAGGGAGACATGGCTGTCCTACTAATGAGAGGACACAAGGTTATTTACGGCAGGCTGAACCAGTGTCATGGATATGGAGATAAGGCAACACCTGGGTAATAAATCATTAAGAATACATGTGAGTTTGGAGGTTGTTTAGTATTTAGTCCAAAAGCTGAAGTCATCACAGATGAGTGTGCTTTTCAGTATCACCCTCCTTCCTATACTTCAGTTACAAGGGTGAGAGAGGCTTCATCTTTATGATTCACTCATGCCTCTCTGGTTATTAAACAGAAAACATCATCTGTCATAAACAAACATCACAGCCATTTCTCCACATTATGTTCTACACTTTGTGCTTGCTTTTCTTTGAACAAGACTAAAACGCTGCCTCCACTCCTTCGCTGAAGTGACTCATCTTTTCTCTATTTTAAGTGCAGTATAGTGCAATTCGAAGATTAAAAAACCTGTCCATTGGCTGCAGATGGGTGTGGTAATAAATACATCTTGCTTTTTCAAACAGTTGTTTCAGTAACATTTATGTAAACACTTTTACTGCTTACATCAGAGGATCTACTGGTGCCCTTCTTGGTTATTTTTGCTGCTTTTTTGCTACAAATGGGAAATGGATAAATTCCAAGGACATTAGTGCTGTCTGCATGCAAGGGAAGCGTGAATGGTTAAAAGTGTAAACCAGTAGAAAAGACCACTTTACTCTTATCTGTGGGTTATGAAATGTACTCTGAAGGTTTTAAACCGTGCCCCCATAGACAACAATTTAATCGACCATCTACAAAAAGCCTGCTGTCTTCCAAAGAGCACTTAACCCTCTCCAGGCAGGCGTTGCAGATTTGCAACAGTTAAACACTAACAACCTGATTACCCCACATACATATTTTATGAGTTTTTTTTACTCAGAAGTACCACTGCAGGACTTGGTTGTGCATTAGCAACAAAAAGTTTAATTTGAGCCTGAGAGGGTTAAACTGTAGAAATGAAAAGATCTCTGTTAGAGATCACTCCTCCTCGAGTGTCTCCGTCCAGACAAGTCTGACCCGTCTGACCCTTTCAAGACTTGTTAAAAAATTTCCATCTTATGTGACATTGGAAAATGTCTGCGTCTTGTGCTGTTGTGTGTGGTTTCTTTTTTTTTTTTTTCATAATATAAAAAATCATTTTAAATGAAGCTCTGACAAATTTTGTTGCCAGTGATTTGACCTTTGGATGGGCGCCTTCTATTAAAGTGGAGCACATGTCTGGCTGTGGATTGGCTGCACTTTTGACTCTGCCTTCTGATGACCTTAGTAACCGAAGCGCAGACCTTCATCTCAACTTCAGCTGTTTTCCTGCTAAGCCATAATTGTCCTCCAGTTCAAAAACAGACCTTTGACTCTTTGTGCGCTTGTCTTTTTTTAAATCCAGATGTTATGCAGTGGCTTTTTGTTTCATCGTTTTGTTCTCAAAGTATATGAGTCTTGTACCAGCAATAAAAATCACCTTGTCAGAGCTAAATAAATAACCAATGTACCTTATTGGCCATCTCTTCCTTTGGCTTAATAGTCATAGTTAATAGTTAATAGCTATAAGAGAATTAACTAACACTGCTGAGAGGACTAGTCACTGGGTATGGCTAAAAAGGGTTGACATCACTTGGGCAGCTAAAGCAGTCAGCTAACCGTGAGGAAAAAATAAATACCCTGCTCATCTCCCCTTTTCTGGGAGGCAGTGGGGAGGCAGAGTGTACAGCCTGATCCGGCGGGGAGGTGTGGGAAGCCATATCCCCACTTCCGGCTCTCCACTCTGCTCTCTCCCATCTTGTCCCCTTTTGTCTTACTTCTCTCCATCACCTTTTCTATCCCTTTGAAGAAGTGAGGCTCCATAAATGCTAAAGAGGTAAGTATTATTTCTCAGTTGCAGTGAATAGATAGAAAATAAACTGTAGAAAACTAAATAGGAGAAAGAAGAAGAGAATTTTACATAAACCAGTGACACACTCCAGGGCCTGATCAACCCTGGCAGGGCCTCCTTGGATGAGGGTGTCTAGTGATAATGGCCGAAACACCCGATGAATCCAGGGTCCACTACTGACGACTTTAAAATGATAATCTAGATCAGATCTCTAATCGCTAACCCTAACCAAGGAAGAAAAAATGGCAGATTAGCCTGGGTTAAAGACCGAAAGTCGAGGCGCACAACGATGTGTGCTGCTGGTAAAGCTTCTGGGCTGCCTTTCCTCATATCAGCCATCCCTCAAGAGTCTCTCCATCTAAAGCAATGCATTATCAGGGACTCTAACATCTAGTCCTTTTTACTGAATCATACTGTCATACTGTCATTAAGTCTACTTTACAGCATTCTTGGAACTATATCACCCTAATGCTTATCAAATCCTAATTCTCCATTTTTTGTTTTGTAACCCCTATAGACATGGTTACTAGTATTTTCTTGTTTTTTACCTTGTATTATTATTTCCGACACCCCTTGAACACACTTTGATTTTCCGTAGTTCAGTGAATGCAACAAAAGCACGTTGCTGCATTAAGCTAGGCAAAAGAGAGCAATTAACAAGCTACACAGTGAGTCTTTCGGTATAAAATAAGTGTTATAAAGTATTTTCAACAGTCTCTAACTTAAAGTTATGTACTTTTCAGAGGCCTTTATGTGTTTTACTCTCGACCAAAACCAGGCAGAGCGTGTATTTGTTTCTTGGGAATTCCGGTGAGTTACTAGAGATGATAAGTTAGCAGGAAAACTTATGCTAATTTTACATGTGGTAAACACTGCAACAGTGCGAATTCTGTATTGTCTAAAAAAAAGCTAAAACCAGTCGGAGTACTTGAATTGTGTGTGAAATGGAATGTCGTATTTTATTTTATTGTCTATTTGATTGGGCATCTTCACAAATGCGCAAAACTAATGCAGGATGCACTTTTCTTTTAGCCATAAATGTTGTCCAGTGCCTTTTCTGCACTTTGTCATTTCAGTTATAGGTTAATTCGTGTAAATAAGTTATTTAAAACTACTTACGTTACAAACATTTCATGATGTGATTACATATGCCTTAAAAAGGGGTATATAAATACAATTGATTGTAATGCTGTAAAGCAATACAAATGGAATTCATAGAGACAGAACAATGTTAAAACAACAGTGTACTTGATTTTGAAAACTTTATGAGATCTCATTTTATTTAGAAAAACTGTTAAGAACTATTTTGTTTATTGCTCTGTACTGTATGTGCAGACTGGTTTTTTGTGATCCTGGATCTGAAGTGGTTCTGGATATGGATGGCAAGCCAGACCCTGTGAAAACTCTTGGCGAATCCAAAAGCAGTGTGGCCAGCTGTTCTGGATGCAGGAGTAGAGCTACAGTCTGAATTACTTCAAATCGCAGGATTTCAGATAAGCAAGAGCAAAAACTGCTTACTTCATATGGATTGTTTCTCTGGGAAACCATTGAACTCCCAATATGCTGCTCATCAGGAGTCAGGTCTAAAGAGACTACTTATTTTATTTTATTTTGTTGTTATTTTCAAAAGAGCGCTCTTCTCTGTTGATCTTCTGTTAATTTTCTATGCTGTTTACATTGGGTTATTGCACCACTGTAACATTGTAATAAATCTGCCGGCTGTTCAACACTCAATTCTCTCAAATTTATTTTACTCCTCTCGAATCTAGTCTATAAGTTTAACCCTACTATACTAAGCAGGTGTTACAGTTTATTTCTTTGTTTTTATTTGTTTAGATTGCAGAAGAAGTGCTGTATGTGTTTGCATTAACAAGCAACAATGGAGTGGACTGGATTGATTTTGAGCTGTTGTACCAATCCTGAAGGTCATCCAGACTCTTTCAATGAATTCTAGCTACGCCCATGAATTCAAATGAATACATTAGATAGATTTAAATTAGCTGCTATATCAGCCTTCCAAAGCATTGTGGGCAATTAAAAAAGGGGGCATGACTTTTTTCACTACAATAGCCTCTGTTTCACCTCTGCAAGTCAAACACTGCTTGTAATTGACTTGTTGCTCAGATGTTTTAACACATTTTCTGAAAAGCACAATGCCGACTTGCTTTATGCTTTTGATTTGCCTGTGGGCATGGACGTATAGTGTTTTTTATGTGAAAAAATGACATTGACCTTGATGACATTCAGCTTATTTAGAAAGTAGGATCCAGTAATTTTGTTCTTGGCCTATATTACGAATCAAAACTCCAACTATCTGAGATTCTGCTGCTTTTCAAACTATCTATCTTTGTACACACAGTGCTAAACTGGCAAAATGCCTGTATAAATGAAATGCTGTGTGTGGAAACACATGATCTTGCAGAACTTCGTTCAAGCATCAATCATTTTGTTATTTAGCCTTGTCTGTGCGTGGAGACATAAGCTTGGCATATCATTCCAATTTAGAACTATCTGGCCTTTCAATTCACCCTCGTGTTTCTCATGCGAATATAAAAACTATCAGAATGTTGATTACTGTCCTAAGAGTAAACAAGTAGGAACTGTGCAAGGTTGACAGTAAAATACATTTTGAATGAATAAATGAACAATAAACCAGACTGTTTAAATTCGGAATAATTATAATTATGGGGGCGACTGTGGCTCAAGAGTTGGCAGTTCGTCTTGTAATCAGAAGGTTGCTGGTTTGAGCCCCGGCTCCAACAGTCTCGGTCGTTGTGTCCTTGGGCAAGACACGTTGCCTACTGGTGGTGGCACCAGTGTCCGGCAGCCTCGCCTCTGTCAGTGCGCCCCAGGCCAGCTGTGGCTACAATGTAGCTTGCCATCACCAGTTTGTGAATGTGTGTGTGAATGGGTGGATGACTGAATGTGTAAAGCGCTTTGGGGTCCTTAGGGACTGGTAAAGCACTATACAAATACAAGCCATTTGCCATTTATGACCCTCTCAGTGCTGTATGTCAACCCAGCCACAGTGGGTTACACAAGGTTAGGGACCTAAACAGGTTTCCCTGTTTAGTTCTTGTCTATTATGTTCGCCTTGTGTCCTTGTCCTCTGCGTCCCTCTCGGTTTTCATGTGTGTGTCCTTGTGTCTTGTTTCCCTCTCTATTCCCATGTTCCTCTCCTTGTGTTTCATTCCATGTTCACACCGTCTATCATGTTTATCCATGTTCCCCAGCTAGGGCTGTGCGATATGACCAAAATCTCATATCCCGATATAAGAATTCTATCGTCCGATAACGATATAAATCACAAAAATGTAACATTTTCTGTAAATTCTGTGAATCTCGGGCAGCTCGTCTTGCGGGAAGTGTTTCCAGCTGCGCGTCATGTAGCCTGGAGTCGAGTGTTTTAACCGATGCATGAAACGATACATTTTTAGACATTAGTTGTAAAGGCCGCCGTTTTCTTTGTGAGTATTTATTACACGGCGTGCTGCGGGGAAAAGCCTGTTCTTTTTTCTTTTCTTTTTTGGCCTGTCCCGTTTGGTTCTTTTGCCATCAGAATTATTGTCTAAAGGCGAGGAAAGATGCCCAACGGATTTACTTTACCAAACTGACCATCCCAGCCTTGCCGTAATGGTCTATTTGATTCACCTTTTATTGTTTATTTTATTTATTTTTTTATTTTCACTTGCTAGATACGGGACTGGAAAAATCTGTTCTAATGTTTGAGTCTAAGGTTTATTTTTTAACACCTGGCGGCTCTTTTTTACTTCTCATCTGTAAATAATCTGCTCTTTCACGTGATTCAGTTTATTTTGAAAAGTCTCAACAGGATCTTGAGCTTTATTGTGAAAGGTTTATGTGGAACATAAACAAGCGGACACACGATGCTGTTACCGTCGTTGTTGCTAACCACAACGCATAAAAACAGGCGCTTGTCCATCCCTAGTGTGGTTATATAAAATATAAAAGAAAGAGAGAACTTTAAGAAATTAATATAGCCACTACAGTGACCATCAAAACGATGGAAAAATATTGCTGTTTTATTGTGACAGTCTCACCTTCCATGTTCAGTGTGTTCAGTTTTGCTTCTTCTCTCTCATTGTGCCTAATTGGTCTCAGCTGTGTTCTCCATGTGTTTCCTGTTCCCTCGTCATTCTTGGTGTATTTAAGCCCTCTGTTTCCCTCTGTCCAGTGTTGTGATCTCCCTCATGGCTGTGTGTCTCTCTGTGTGTCTCTCTGTGTGTTTAGTTTCCTGTAATTCCCCAGTTTAGTTTTGTAGTACTTTCCGTTCAGCCTATGAGTTACAGTGGGGCTTCTATCCTGCTTGCTTTACACAGCTGTTTCATGACAGGGGGTGGATTACACCAGAGATCAACTAGAAGCACCTTCTTACTTGAAATAGTGAAGAACCGGTTAATAGATGATGTCAGGCATTAGTATGAATATGGTGTTCACAGATGAGTTTGTGATCTGTAGTGAGAGTGGGGTGGAGGTATGTTCTAGAGAGAAGAAGAATGATATTCAGTAAATGCAAGAAGTAACACATGTGTGTGAATTAAAGAAGTAGAGGCTATGAAAGATGACGGGTTTAAATATCTGGGTTCAACCATCCAAAGCACAGGCAATGGACAAGAGTGGCTGGTTTGGCTTGTAAAGCGAAGGAATAGTGAATATATTGGATGGAGCTGCCAGAGAAGAGGAAAAGAAGACTACAAAGAAGATGGATATAGTGAAGGAGGACATGCAGAAGGTTGGTGGGCCAGAATAGTGACAGAATGGTGGGAAGCAAATGATCCATTGATGTGGCCTATAATGACACAATGGACGCTTTTAAAAGTCCTATTGATGTTACAATTAAAAGCACTAAGTAAACATCAATGTCAGCATGTTCAGTTAAAATTGTGACTTATCCCACTGAACTCCAAGTTCCTCTAACGTGGGTTTTGTAGTTCCTTAAAAGATAACTGTTATTTCTTGGTGTCCAGTAGTACTACAGTGTGGCGGGGAACCAACGCCACAGCATGTTTGGCATATTTCTCTGTTCTGACAGAACAAAAGTTGTTGTTTTTTTTGTTCTGGGATAAAAATAGCAGTTCATGACATTAATCAAATAGTTTCATACAAAGAAAAACATCTAAAGCTTCTAATCAAAGCCACAAGTATTTGTGCTGTAGTATCACGTCTTTCAAAAGTGCCCTTTCAAGCACAAAATCATGTCAAACACTACACGAAGAAAAAGCTGCATACCATCACTGAAATAACATAAGAGCCTAACATGTAACCCCTTTAGGTTGCACGAGGTTATTCCCTCAACATGCTCTGTCACATTTTTTCAAAGCTCTTCAAGTTAAAGTAGGTGAGAGCAAAAAATGGATGTGATGCAGTGTTGGCAGGAATCAAGACACACTGCCTGAGGTCTCAGTTGAAACAGCCGTAGCCCTGTTTTCTATTCTCTTTGATACAATGGAGACCTGTGTTTAAAGAGAAAAGGGGAGAAAAAGTTAAGCTGGAATACAAACATCAGTATGAATATGACAAAGAGCCTCATTTCTGTAGCGCTTAATAGTCCTGTCTGCCATTTGTTAGCTCAGTTTTATATAGATAGCTTTTGAATGGCTCAGTAGGAAAATGCACTGTCAATGAATTACATCACATTATCTTAGCCACCTAGCTTTGTCATTCAGTTGATGGGGCTGTCGCCTGTGTTTGCCTGAGTAGCCCTGGCTGGTTGCCATGATGTCTTGTTGATGTGGCCAACTTCATCCCTTTTGCCAGTGAGCTGTGACTAATATGAAAACACATCTGACATCTGGCTTACTCAATCTGCTGGTTTTAAATAGATGCTGGCGTCAGTAAAGGATTCATTCGCTCTTTTCTTTCAGTGTGACGACATCTTCTCTGATCGGTGTCTGGGAGCTACGGAGTGAACGCTTTGCAGAGGGTGAGATGCCTACTTAAAGTAAACACATATGATGCTGTTCTGAGTGTTACTATGCCAATAACATGTACAGATATCATTTTTGTGACATTTCCATATTACTTTTAAGCCCAGAGGTTTTCCAGTTGTGGCATATAAAAGCAGAGACAAATTAATATAGTCTATAGTTATTTAAAATTTTACACTGTGGTGAGAATTTTTATTCTTCTTATTTTCTAAAAATAAAGCACAGCAGCATCCTGTAAGGTCAAGCTCAGCTTCAATCCAGGCAGATCAGCTGATTTCCACTGCCAGCCCACATCAGGCTGTGGCTGAGCTGTTACCCTTTCACACATCCTACTTGCAAATCTCATATAGGTGGGCGTAGTATTTAAGTATCTTTAGCCTTCTGATACTTCCCATCTTCAAGCTGCTTTACAACCCAGCTTCTCCTTAGTTGCTGC